CTTTCTCTGGTCTCAGCCAGGCTCCCTCTTTTACCTCCTCCAACCCTCCCTTTGCATGTATTTCTGGCACCTTCCTCACTCCACTGTTAGGCTGCCCAGGAAACCTGAACACTCATGGGATTTTGCTGAACAGATTGAGTCCTTCGGGACCTCTCTCAGGGCTCTGCCTCCACAGCAAAATGACCCAAAGGGCAGGTCTTTCCCTGAGATTGTGGGGCCAGTTCTATATATACACACACATTTATATATATGTACCACAAGCAGAAAATTTTATAAAAATCCTAAGTATTCCTCACACCCACCACCAACACCCAGTCCTTCCTCCCCTCCTGCTGTTAGTTTCTTACTTCTCTTTCCAGAGGCACTTACCCGTTACAAAACTTCTGGTTTTTTTGCCCTCCCTTTCTCCTTCTTTTATTTGTTTATTTAATTTCCGTTCCTTCCTTTCTTACAAATGAAAGCATGCTGTTTTGTTCTGTGCTGTACTTTTTTAAAAAGATGTATTTATTTAATTTTAGAGAATGAATGGGTTGGGGTGGGGGGGCAAGAGCAGAAGAAGAGGGAGAGAGGCTTCAGCAGACTCCCTGCTGGGCCTGAGATCAAGAAAGATCACCATCTGAGCTGAAACCAAGAGTCCACCCTTAACTGACTGCATTGCCCCCCCCAAGCCCCCAACATGTCTAGCTTTTTTGACTTAGCCAAATGAGTACATAGTTCAAGGCCACTGTCAAATGCAGACTTTTTCTGTCCTCTGTGCTCTCCAAAAAAAATTTTTTTTAAGATTTTTATTTATTTATTTGACAGACAGAGATCACAAGTAGGCAGAGAGGCAGGCAGAGAGAGAGGGGGAAGGAGGCTCCCTGCTGAGGAGCTCCCTGAACTCCCTGCTCAGGGATCCTGCTAAGCAGAGAGCCTGATTCGGGGCCGATCCCAGGACCCTGAGATCATGACCTGAGCTGAAGGTAGAAGCTTAAGCCACTGAGCCACCCAGGCGCCCGAGAGCTCTCCAAATCTTTATGTATCATGCCATCATTTATAAACTGCTGGAGGCATACCAAAAATTGTAATTATTCATTCATTCATTTATAGAGTATAATCATACCACTACTGTGGTATAATAATATTGACATTATAAAATAGTAATCGAAATAGAAATTTTAAAATGATAAAGATGAAATTTTACATACTTAATTTTTGAAAGCTGTATTTGATTTTTAGTAGTACAGAGTACTTTTGCTTTCTAAAATATTACTGTTAATATTTTAAACAGGATCAATGTGTTGCATATGCTTTGTCATATTCGAAAAATCTTGGGTCACCCTTTTGTGATACAGCAGTTCAAAGTCTAACCAGACTTTGACTATACTCACTTCGCTTTGACACTTGGTTTCGAAGTCCATCAGAGCTGAAGAAGACACTTTACAGAGGGAGATATAGAGATCCAAAAATGGAAAAATACCTCATGAGATGAGTTTTATTAACTCCCCAAACTCATTTTTCAATCTTATCTTTTGTGCAAAGACAGTTTGTTGAAACTTTCCTTGATTTAAGGTTTTTGTTCTTTGTCATATGCAACAAAGTAATGGAAACATTTCCAAACACCTGTTTTCAAAATGGTCTTGCCATAGGTTGAATTTCTTTTGGAAAGAAGTGACTTTCTCACTGACAGTTAAAGTGCCACTTCAGCCTTGGAAGGACAAATTGTGGGTTTACTGTGTACGTATGCATGTATATATTTTTGTGTGTTTATTTTTTAAAAATGTGCTAGGTGACGTACTAACGATAGCCACTTGCCATGATGGAAAATGACAGGTCATCTGCAACACTTACCATTTTGTCGAAGAAAGAATGCATCACTTGTTCCCAGGTTCTACAGCTCCCTTAAACACACTGGTATGAGGTGACCCGTGTGGTACCTGAGGCTGACCTGGCCATCCCCCATTGCATGGCAAAGCGCTGTAAGGATGCTAAGATTTGAAGGCTTTGTTTTTATGAAATCAATCCCACTGATAGTATCCTATAAGCATGGAAGTTCCAACTGGCAATGGGCTGGACCCAGAGCCATGAGAAGCTCCCTCCCATCTCCTTCCTATATCTCGCTCACTGTGTGTAAGTTGCCCACAGTAATGGCAGCCACATGGGACAACAGGCTGTCTCCTGCTTGGATCAAGAAAGGGCATCTTAATGGATTGTCTTGAGTGTCCCATGGAAGGTGTGTACCCCACACGAATATTCTCTACACAAAGAACTCTCTCCAAGTAAATTAAAAAACTTGATTTCCTTTAGTCTCTAAACTATTCCTCCCTCCCTTTTGAAGTAAAATACCTGCCAGTTGAGTCTCCATGGGACCCTCAGCAGAGTCAGCGAGGGTTGTTCTGGGAAGACCTGGCAGCTTGTCCCCCAATACTTCCCACCATCCTATGCCTGGGGCAGCGAGATGATAACCAGGACAAGATCTACAACTTCCATTTATTGAGCTATATTATTTTGTGTGGGTCCCTACTCTAGGTGTTCCAAAAATACAGTCGATTCTCTTTGTTCCCTCTAGTTCTCTTCTATAACATCTCCCTAAATACTCAATTAGTGAATTCTGAACCACTGCTTGTAGGGGAAATACAGGATGTGGTTCCGACTGGCCTCTGGTCACAAGATTTTTGTCTACCAGTTAGTACATAACTTTGTTTTATGTGTGTTTCTGTTTAAGGATTTTATTTATTTATTTGAGAGTGAGAGAGCACGAGCGAGGGGAGGGGCAGAGGGAGAGGGAGAGAGTATCCCAAGCAGACTCCTTGCCGAGGGCAGTGCCCCAAACAGGGCTCTGTGTCACAATGCTGAGATCATGACCTGAGCTGAAACCAAGAGTCGTGTGCTTAACGGACTGAGCTGCCCAGATGCCCCACGTGTGTTTTGGTTTAAAGAAACCTTGTAAAATATATAATGTTACTTTATTAATGTTGAATTCATGGCCAACAGCACTGTAGCTTGTGCTCAAATGAAGACTATCTAATGGGTGTACTTTCTCCATAAGGCACACCATAGCCCCCTTGCACTGAGGAACTCAAGACAGCATTTCAGCACTGTGCCTAGGAGTCTTTTAAATAGCAAAAGCATCAACAAAAATCACAAAAATGCAGAAAAGTGTGGCATTAAACAGACCACAAAAGAACACCTGTTTGACCGTTGCTGAAAACGTGCACATTGGGCAACTCATGGTTTTCGTCATGGCACACATTCACCACACAAGCGAGCAAGCACTGATTTGGGGGTTACAAGTAAGTTTTAGTGAGTAGACGATACAAATATGGAATCTATGAATAATGAAGATCGACTATGTCATGTCCCGGTGCCCTTGTGAAACAGATACTAGTACAATGAGACGTAAACTGAAAGGAACGTCAGGAGTCTCTCCCAGCTGTCTTCCTGGGGACTTCAGGAAGCTAGGACAGTGAAGTGACTTGCCCCAAAATGTCCAGGGCATGTAGGACACCCATGGCACTGAACTCTTGCTCTCCCAACCACAGCTGGTGCCCTTTCCACTGCATATTTTTGGGACCAAATGCAACAATTTAAATGGCAGGTGGGGCTATATGCAAAACTCTGCACACTCCTCCTAGCTTCTCTGCAATAATTAAAATCTGGTTTCAATCAGTGTTTGGTTTGCTGTCTGGTGGTACAGGGGCACAGTGAAAGATAGCTATTAAAAAAAAAAGGGGAGATCACAAACTTGAATGAAATCAGGCACAAAATGAGAAATTAAAACAACCCAAAATATTTGCATCAAGAACAGGTTTTGACTTTTCAAATTTAGTTCTCCAGTGAGCCAATTCATACAGGGGTAACATGAGAGAGAAATGATGTTGAAAAAGCCAAACGTGCTGGGGAATTTCAGAGATGAGAGCACATGTTGCATAAACAGGAGAGATGGGCCAAGATGTGACATTTTAGTTGGAAAATTACTAGTGTATGCGTATTTATAAATGTATATATTTTGATGCCAGATTATCTCAAATTTTTGTGATATTCCGACAATTATACAAAACTAGCTTGTTCCTTATTTGGCTTAAAAATGTACAGGATTTAAAACCCAAATTTAAAATGACTGGTAAGTAATGCAGCCTGCAGGCTATCTGATAAATGTGTGCCCCTGAAATGAGTGAACACCCTGAAAAATGAGAAAACAAAAAACAAAGAAAAGACAAAGATGTGGTGTGTTCTTAGAGTAGGAACCTCTGCGTATCTCCAATTGGTACATTATTACTTTTATATATAAGATTTCTATTTTGGGGGACCTGGGTGGCTCAATGGATTAAGCCACTGCCTTTGGCTCAGGTCATGATCTCAGGGTCCTGAGATCGAGCCCTGCATTGGGTTCTCTGCTCAGCAGGGAGCGTGCTTCCTCCTGACTCTCTGCCTACTTGTGATCTCTCTTTCTCTGTCAGATAAATAAATAAAATCTTTAAAAAAAAAAATTTCTATTTCAAAGAGTTCCAAACTACCTTTCTTGCTAAGACTCCACATTCCAAAGTCGAGCCCACCACTATTATGGCCGCACCTGTGATAATTAGATGCTCTTACCCAGTACACTTACCAAACACTTAGATGTGTATACGATGACAAAGTCTTTAGTTATTTACAGAGTACGATGCTGTTATAACTTTATTCACTTACTGCACTTTGCACTTAGAAGGAATCAAAAATTCCTATTCAAAACCTCAACCTTCCATGTATCCGCTTCTCTCTAAAGCAGTCTCAGAATCCATTCTTCCCATCCATTAAGTTAAGAGGTCATTCTGATGCACGAGTAGCATTTTCTTAAAGTTAATTTTGTCATGAACGATCTCTTCCCCAAAGCAGAACCTTCCTTGTTTCAAGGATAATTTTTATTGATGAGAAACATTTTAAAGCAATAAAAAGATAATTTTCTTATTTCTATGACAGTTTCCATTTTGAAAATTTTCTTCTCAAAGATTACCACCACCCCCCATCCCCGCAATGTTCTTTCTTTATCCATCAATAAGGATCCCATCCTCTATTAAAAATGAATCGATTAATCATGTTAAAAGTTCTCAGAGGCTGGTCATAGGGTAAAATGTGTCCTCCACCGCGAACAATTACCTTAGGGAAGAAAAAGAAAAGTTAAAATTTTAGAGAAATGGATGTTCTATATGAATGGAAAGTTTTAGTTCAGATTGAAGTATTATTAGAGCGTCCATGAACTACAGAACATATCCTATCAATCCATGCCTTTGAATACGCTGATTGTCTAAGTGTTGATAGGTTTAATAATAGGCCCTTTAAGGTAGGAGAGGTTTACTGTTGTGCGGTTATTTAATTTAACACAAAGTTGTGTTCATCTTTCACACGTATGGAACTTGAAAAGTGTCTTTTTTCTTTTGGGAGTGAGCTGTCTGCTAGCACGTGCTGTCTGTTATTCTAACCTGATGAGGCCCCTGAGGTGTGAAGACCTACCCTGGGGCCACCTCTGCCCCCCAACTGGGGGGGAGGAATCTACCCAACTTCCTTTTCCGTCTGAGCCACATGGCCCTCACACTGAGCTCTACCTGCCATCTTAGTCTTGGCCATTAATACAGGGGATATTTTGATTTTCCAAAAAATTAAAACAATAAACACGAGAAATTCTTGACACCCAAATTTTTAAAAGGCCATTTTTTTTGGAGTAGCACAGAATTAGAACATTCTTTTTTCCCAACATTTTATGATGAAAAACATTCAAACATAGAGTAAATCTGAAAGAATTCCATAGACTTACGACTTCGATTCTCTCATTAACACGCACTTTACTCATTTTCTCACACCATCCATCCTATCTTTTTGACATGTTTTAAAGTCAAGAATGGCTATCAGTCCACTTCCCTCAGATTTTGTAATTGTAAAATTGTAAAATTAACACACAGTGAAACGCACTTGTGCTAAGTGTGGACTCACTGAGCTTGGATAGCAGTGGTACCTGTGTCACCTAACAAGATATATAAAGTATTCTGAAATACCTAGAGTTAAGGTAAGTTCAGACTCTTGTGCTTGGTGTCATACTGATGGGGGGCGGGGAATGCAGAGGAAGGGTCAGGGGGGCGGGAGGGGACTAGTCTCTGTATTCAGAAAGTCTCTGGTTTCAGCAAACGTTCCAAGTAGAAAAGGAAAGAACTGACACGGTGTCTGACACGGTGTTGGCAGAACCCCTGCAGGAGACAGCGATATGGCCTGCTGTGTCCGATGGCATATGCGGAAAGTGGGCAGGAGTTAGTAGTGGATGAAGGAGGTGAACGTAGGCAGGACAAGGATCACATTCAGTAGGTTCCAGCTGCTAACTCAAAATCAGCAGGTAAAGGCCACCTTAACAAGGCCCTTCATAGCTAGTTTTACCTGCCTCGATCAGAAGGCAACTGAGACAGAAGAAAAGTACACATGTATTTTCATAGTGCATTTGATATATTAATAATCCACCCCCAACAGCCGGCATCTTATGACCTTGCTGTGAGGAAAGTGGGATCAAGACGATTAGATGAATTTTGCTTTGCAGCTCACAGCTACACAAGCTGTGCACTGTGCAGCTAACTTCAGAGAGCTCCATTCATACCAACCTCAGTGACTGAGTGATATGGAGCTATTAGGAGGGCTGTCCAAGTCGCACAATTATTACTCAGAGAATGAGCTGGGACCTGGCTTTGGATGCACACACCAGTGTTTTTGTTTTTCAAATCCTAGTATTTGTATAATAATTCTTTACATTTGAACTAAACTTTCCAGCTTAGTCATAGAACATTTTACCTGGCTCTCAACAGCCCTCTGAGGCAAATAAGGGAAATGGACCACCATTACAGATGTGAGATTGGACTTAACCCTCGTACGAAATTGGAAACACCTGGTGTATGCCATACACCATCAATGGCCATTTGGGCCTTGCTGCCATGACAGTGGAGCCTGTCTACCATTTGCATACAAGCAAATGGTAGACAGGAAACCCACAGGCTGAGAATAAACACATGTGTGATATGAGCCCCTGCATGTGACTCTAGAGAAGAATTTTTGCTGCCCCCACAATCCCAGGCTAGAATTCTCTTCCTGTAGGTTCCCATCCAAATCTCCGGCTCTGGCAGGAATCTGATGAGTGATTCTGTGCAACTTCAGCTCAGCTGAGGACACTCACGGAAGTCGGGTTTGTGACAAAACCCAGCTGCTGCCGCCTCTGGAAATGAATCTGGCAGCAATGGTCCTGAACAGCAGCGGTGAGCTGAGTCCAAGAGCCGAACGGTCATCCGGCCTCTCCGACCAGAGCTGCAGCTAATGGGGGGTAACATAGTGCTTTATGGCCTGGGCCTACACTCAAGAGTGCAGGAGCACGACTCAAGGCACAGCAAGCTGTGTGACCCTGGGCAAGTCACTTACGTGCTCTGAGCCTCAGTTTCCTTCACTGTACAATGGAGAAAAAATTATCACGTCTTGGGATAGTTGGGAATTACGGGAGCAATTCGTGGAATAATGTCCATTGAACATATGGCATAGCGCCTAGATGGTACTCAACAAATATTAGCCACTGTCATTATTCTTTCAACAGTTATCCCTATTCAAAATCCAGGGTCAAAATGCTTGTATCAAATTACCCCAAACCACTGTATTTCTATGTTAGCATTAAGAAATCTTGGGGGGGCACCTGGGTGGCTCAGTTGGTGAAGCGTCTGCCTTCGACTCAGGTCATGATCCCAGGACCCTGGGATGGAGCCCCACATCAGGCTCCCTGCTCAGCAGGAGCCTGCTTCTCCTTCTCCCACTGCTCTCTATCTCTCTCTGTGTCAAATACATAAATAAAATCTTACAAAAAAAAAAAAATCTTGGTTTCAGGGAGTTGTTTAAAACAGCGGTTCTCAAACCTGAATGTGCATCAGAACACCTGAGCTCATTAGAACAGACTGCTGGGCCTCACCCCTAGACTTCCCAGCACTGAAGGTCCAGGGCAGAGCCTGATAATTTGCATTTCTAACAATTCTAAGGTGATGTTGATGCTGTTGGTGCAAAGACTGCCCTCTGACAACTGCTGTTCAGAAGAACCTTTTCCATTCTTCGACATACCAGGCAATTCTCTATTTATATCAAGGGAGAATACAAACAGAAATTTGTTTGACATCTACTCATGGCCTCACCTTAGTCTGTTTTCTCTTGATCATCCTCTTTCCTGGTATACACACACACACACACACACACACATTCTAGGACCACGATAATCAAGTGGTTCTTCTCTCAGTAACCTGCATCACCGCCAGTCAGGTTCTGAGCTGCCATATGTAATGATCAAATGACATCATGGATGGCGTCATTAAGATTGGAAAGAAAAGCTCATTTGGGAACAAAGTCTTTTGCACACACAGCAAAATTCTAAAGTATGTCCCCTAGCACATTGACAGCATTTTACCGATGTTAACCTCAAATAACTATGTAAGTGCGGGGGGGGGGAGGACAACAAAAAACCCCTCTGTTGTTTATAACCAAGCTGCTCACCACTCACAAATCAAGGACACAAACCACTCCGTGGTTTTTAGAGGTGTGTAACAAAATGTGACAGGTCTGTGATTCTGTATTTAAATGCGACAAGATTCATCTCAAGGCTCCCTGGATAGAAATGGTCTCATCATCAGAAACTCTGTATGCTGGATGTTTCCACACGAGAGCTGAAACCTCTAAACTCATGCATTCCAGATGTTCCAGAGGGTCACAGATGTGTCATGAATTTTAAAAGGGTTATGCAAACACTTTAAAGCTTCATTCCACTTTATTTATTTATTTATTTATTTAGAAAAAGATAGACTCCTCCCTGGAACTGGAAACAAGGACCTGGGCAGCAAGGGTCTCCCAGTGGTGCCATTAGCGGTGACAAGAATGGAGAAGGAAATTCACACTGGGAGTGTGGGTGTAGGTTTGTCCAGGGAGACTTTGTGGGGGTCTTAGAGGAGCAGCAGCAGTACTGGGTGGGGTGGGGTCGGGACACATGGCACCCAGAGGAAATGCTCTTGCAAACGCAGCAGGGCGTGAAAACCACACAGCACCCACAACAAGCAACAATCTGCACAGGGTTCCCCATATGAAGGGTTAGAGAGGAAAGAAAAGGGAGGGTTGAATAGACAATTAATAGTGAGACCCTATGATGCCCCATATGATGTGGTGATGGGTGTGTGTGCACTAAAATACACACAACCTAAAATCACCATTCTAACCATTTTTAATTGAACAGTGGGATTTCATACAATCACAGTGTGGTGCAACCATCACCACTATCTCATTGCAGAATGTTTCCATCACCCCAAAAGGAACCCTATATCCATTAGCAGTCTCTTCCCATTCTCCTCTCCCTGCGTGCCCCTGGCAATCAGGAGGCTGCTTTCTGTCTCTGCAGAGTTGCCTATTCTGGATGTATCCAAGAGGGTTTCAAGCAGGGCAGTGATATGCTCAGATGTGCATCCTAGAAAGATGACATTATGTACAATGAGGGGGTTGATTTGGAGGAAATGATACTGAGACAGGGAGGTGACTTAGGAGGCCGGCTGTTCAGGTGAGAGAGGATGTGGGTGTATGGGAGAAATGGGGAGAAGGGGAAGGAGAAGAGGGATGTTGAGGTGGAAGCAATAAAATCAGGGACTAATCAGCTGCAAAGGTAAAGTGCAAGTGTTCCCCCAGCACATGTACACATCCTCCCCATTTCAGCCTTCTGACATTGGCAGCTTTGCAAGGGGTGGTGCTATTAACAGAGAAAGAAGGAAGGAGGCAGGTTTGGGAGGTGGGCAATATGGGATAAGTTTATAGTTCTTGTTTTTCACTCTAGGATGATGCAAACACAGGGAAAGAATCTTGCTTGTTATGGTTTCCGATTTACACTAAAGTCATTTTATTATTTTTTATCTTATTTCATATTTATAAAATCTTACCTTTTAGCTTTCAGACACTGAGCACACATAGAAATGGAATAAATATGCACTCAAATAAAGCATATACTAAAAAAACAAAAGGTACTTGGGAATGAGAATAAAAAAATAAGCCAAAGCTTGTTAGCAGCCACTTCCTAAAAAAGAATGGGGCAACCCATTTAAAAAAAAAAAATCAGTAACAAC